AAACAGAAGCCCAAAGGGGTGAAGCAAGTAACCTGCAGCTGCACACCTAGCCATGAACAAAGTCCACACTTCCTCACGCCTCTGCCCTTCTGGGCCAAACCCAGGCCTGGGGATTGCAGAAGGCAGGTAAGGACAGGAGCTCTCTCAGAATAGTCTCAGCCATGCTCATAATAAAAGACTCGATTTACACAGTCACCAGGCAAACCCAAAGGCTCCCCTTTGCTCAGCAGCAGCGAACACCTCTGATGCCTTTTTCTGACTCCCTCTTCCCTGGGCTCCCCAGATCCTGTTCTCATCCAATTCTGCCTCCTTTAGCCCCATCCCAGTGCTGATCATCACACCCAGTATGTGTTACTGTCTCCCCCTTGCTCATCCACAGAGGAAATGAACTGTGGCCTCATCAAGATCCCTTCCCATTCTCTGGAAGTTGCCCTCGAGTTTCGCTGGTGATCCACCCTGTTCCAACCCCAATTTCACATGCCTCTGCAGATGTGGACACACAGCATTATGCTTCTCCCATCCCTATCTGTCAACTCCCTCTGACCCAGCAGAGCTTAGGACACATAAGGGAAGAGCGGTTGGGATCACCACTGGAGCCGCCGCCCAGAATCTTAGTGTGAAGGAAGGTTAGAACAAGCATGCAAACAGAACAGTCAATAAAATCACTCACGCCTTGAGCCTATGCTAGAAACCAGATATGCCCTTAAGCTTTTTAGTGAGGAAATCAGTAACTTTTCGGGGCTGGGGGTTTAGCTCAGCAGCGTAAGCACCTGCCTTGCAAGCAGGCAGTCGTGAGTTCGATCCCTGGTACCGATAAAAAGGAAAAAGACAAAAAAAAAAAAAAAAAAAAAATCAGTAACTTTTCTTTTTTCTTAAGTCAGTTTGAATAGGATTTTCTATAATTCACAAAAGAACAGATCTTTTTTGATACCTCATCTCTCTATATATGCTCTCTCTGCTATGGTCCAGATCTAAAGGGTCCCCCAAAGGCAAGCTGATGGGCTTTGGGAATGTAACCCTAACTCCACCCAATGGATTCATCCACCAAGATTATGGTTTGATAGCATTTCTGGGAGTTGATGGAAACAGGAGGCAGCTCTAGTTCAAAGTAGTGGATAATGGGAGTGTCATTTTGGGGACTATCTCTTGGCCCCAGCTCCTTACTCCATGGCCCTTCTCCTCTTCCTTTCTGCTTTCTGGCTGCCCTGAGGTGGACACATGCATCCTTCCACCATAATGTTGTGCCTCCCCTCAGGCCCCCAGCGATGGAGCCAGCTGAGCACGGACTGCAAAATCAGAAACCATGAGTCAAAATAAGTTCTTCTTGCCTTAGGCTGTTTGTGTCAGGTATTTGGTCAAAGTGATAAAAAGCTGACGCTTCACGCCCACTCAAACTCAGGAACTCCAAATTCTCCAGCTCTAGACCAGAAAACGCTTTTAAGACTGAGACTCAGGTCCACCCACCTGGCAGATGTTATGCTCAATCACCCCAGGTACCTTAGATATGACAATGTGCGGCAGGAAACATCACCTCGCCTTCTAACGTTCTATACACTCTTCTTCCTGTACGCCAGATAAAACAGCACTGACCACCCAGTCTCTCAGAACAGAAACCAAGAATATCCTAGACCACTCCTGGGGGGTAATTTTGATGGGGCTACTAAGACCCTGAGCAACACTTTCTGACCCTATGTCTCCAGTAGGTTGATGAACGTGTGTGAGCCTTGGATTTCCATCCAGACTCAACAAGATTGAGTAAGATAATGTACAGAAAGCAATAAATGTCCCTCTCCTATTCCCTACTACAGATATCCAACGCATCATGAAACTCTAATTCAGCAGGGCATGGTGGTGAAGGCCTATAATTTCAGCACCCTAGGAAGCTGAGACAGGAGGATCAAAAGTTCAAGCCCAGCCTGGGTAATTACTTAGCAAGACCCTGTCCCAAAATAAAGAGTAAGAAAAAAAAGGACTGAAGATGTGTCCCAGGGCCTAGTGCAAAGGCCCTGGGTCCAATCCCCACTGCCACTAAAACAAAACAAAACCGCCTTATCCTCACTGACACTTCCTCAGCTCAGCCCCTCACCCTCATTCTACTGAGTTAGTAGTGGATGCTGTCATCTCATCTCTTATCTGTGATTTCGCCCCCACTCCAATCTGTCCTTCCCACAGTCGCCAGACAGATGGTTCCCTACACAGGCCTGGTCGCGCCACGTTCGCCCAGCACCTGCAGACAGTATTCACTGGTAGATGCCCTCCACCCCTGCGACCTGCACCCGAGACTCTTGCTGCTGATTCCCAACTATGGGGCTCTGGGCACTGCTCCTGCTGCCCACGCTGAAGAGCTGGTTAAAACACACCCCTGGTAAGGTCAGAATTACAGATCGGCTAAAGAAGCCCCTCCTGACTCACCTGGTGCCACACAGAGGAGGAAAGTGAACAAATGAAAAGCAGCAGCGGTTTAGAGGACTCTTAGATAAAGAAACAATGAAGAAGAGAAAAAGAAATCTGAAAAATTTAGTATGTACCTAGGAGAAGATGTCCCAAGCAAAAATGAAAACTTAAAATCACGAGGCAAATGATACGGATGCAACCTCGTAAATATTAAGTATTTCTGTAGCATCAAAGGTTGATAAGTAAAGTTGGAGAACACAAAAAAAGGTCAGACCTTTATTTAGTAACGTGAGACGAATTAAAGTCCAGACTTTAGAAAGAGTCACACAAGCTGATGAAATTACAAACAGTTCAACAGGAAAATTGGCTGAGACAGGAAGATCAAAAGGATTTTTTAAAGGGTAAATGTGGGCTTCTTTTTAAAGGGTAAATGTGGGAGACACTGAGAAAATATAGTGCACAGAACTGATATGGAATGGCCTCCCAGAGCTAGGGTAAACTTCTGAAATGCCACATGCAGAAAAGGTTACAGAGCATGCTACCATGTTTATTTTTGAAAGGTGAACAATGAATGATATGGATTTTTTATTTGCCTGTAAGTAATGAAAGAACACATAAAAATGGCAAAATTAGTTATATCCCAAAAGGGAAACAGAGAGCTAAGAATAAGAGCTAGAGGAAAATGCTACCTTTTTTTAAAATTTAAATGTTCTATCCCCCCCCCCTTTTTTTTTCTGAGTTACTGGTGATCAGACTCAGGGTCTTCACCCTGAGCTACATTTTGTTTATTTTGAGATGCTTTTCACTAAGGTATTAAGTTGCCCAGGCTGAGTTTGAAATTGTGATCCTCCTGCCTCAGCCTCCTAGAGTGCTGGGATTATAGACCTATGCCACAAGGCCCAACAAATGTACCTTCTGAATATACTATCTATCCTCTCTGAGTAAACATAACTATATAAGTTAATTAAATCTCGTTTTCAGCACAATCTCTCAGACTTCAGTAAGCAAAGAGAACTGCACTTAAATAACTCTAGCATGTGCATTCTCATTGGCCCCCAACACTACTTCTAGGAGTAACTTTTATCCAGAATCACTCTATATGTACACACATAAAGAAGTCTAGATAGTTAAATTGGAAATCCATCTAATTGAGGTTGGTGGCATATTTCTGTAACCCCAGCACTCTGGAAGGCTGAGGCAGGAGGATTGAAAGTCTAAGCCCAGCAGAGACAACTTATTGCCTTAGTGAAACCTTGTCTCAAAATTTTAAAAAATACAAATAAAAACAGTTGGGTATAATTCAGTGCAAAGGTCCTGGGTTCAACCTCCAAAACTGCAAAAAAAAAAAAAAAAAAAAAAATGAGAGAGAGAGAGAAAGAGAAATGTAGGGGCCACCAGTAGAGGAACATTCAAATAAATTATAATAACCATTTTTAAAAAGTATACCAGTTAACTAACACTGAAAGAACTCAAAGTCTTATTATATATCCATTTACAGTTTTACAAAGTATATTAAATCATTTCAGCTAGAAATGTAGATAATGTTAGTTTACTACGTCTCATGCTATAATGTTAGTAAGCCATGTATAAAATATTTTTTCTATACTTCCATGCTTGTTGCACACACACTTATGCACTGAAAAAGCTCTAGAAAAAAATACATTTACAGCAGTTACCCCAGAGGTGAGGCCAGGAAGCAGAGGAGAGGTAGAGGGAATCTGAATTTATTTTCCTATAAATTACTGCACTTGAAAAAATGCTTGATAGTAACTCATATTTCTGCAAACTGGCTACAGCCCAGGCATGCTCTCCATCATGGACCCAAGCTCATGAGTTGTAAGGGGTGAGCTGGGAGATGGACTGTCCTACCTCACACTTCACTCCTCCCACAGTACGCGCTTACCTATGACTAGAGAATAAACTACACACAACTAAAATAAAACTTCATATGTACTCCCTCCTGTTTTGCTCCTAGCTGAGTGAAAACTCTTCCCTTTGTGTTCCCAGGGGTCCCTGAACATATCTACCACGAATGCCATTCTCTCTGGCAGCTGCACACACACAGTGACTCTAGAGACAGATTTTAAAAAAAAAAAAAAGGAGCTGGGGATTTAGCTCAGCGGCATAAGCGCCTGCCTTGAAAGCAGGCAGTCGTGAGTTTGATCCCTGGTACCGGTAAAAACAAAAAAGCCAAAAAAAAAAAAAAAAAACCAAAATAAAAAAAATTAAAAAAAACAACAACAACCCTCATCCGAGTTCTCTCTTGGGGTAGGACCAGAATCACTGGCAACATAAGTACCGACCAAATGAAGTATCTAGGCACGAAGTTAAGTCTTCTCCCAAACTGCAGGCAGCACTTTTGTTGATGATTTTATTCTTAAAGAAAAACCTCCAGTCCTGCTTCATTGCATTTCTGCAAGACAGCAAGTACTTCCAAAGGTCCAACATAGGCTGTGACCTCAACCAGCCTCCACCATAATTCAGTCACTCTGTACATTTTTCAACGTTTTTAATTAGTTACCATATTTAGAAATACAGAGCCTTTTTTCCATAAAAATACTCTCCTCTGCTATGGGGCTTCCTGGCAGCCAAGCACCAAACTGTACCTCCTTCTGCTGACATTCAGGTCAGTTCCAGTTCAGCCCATTCTGTCCTCCGCAGAGCGCTGAGAGCTCACACCGCGCTCCCCATGCAGTCCGCCTCCGCCTCTCAGCAAACGGTGCACAGTGCTGCAACACAAAGAGAAGGATCTGGGTACCTGGCACCCTAGCCTTAGTTCTAAAATTCAGACAAGGCTTCTCTAGTCTCACTGCCGTGGCAGTGCAGCTGAAGAGCAGGGAGAAGTCCCTGATTAAAGGATCCCCCTTGGCATCAGGAGGCTGGTGGAAAGCGATACCACCAAGTCAAGAGACAGCATATGACCGGAGATGCTGGCTAGTTGGGCAGAGTGCTTTACCTGCCTGTGTGCTACCTCCACCAAAGGGACTAGCAGGACTCCACGCGGCTGCCCTGCGATGGAATTAAAAGGGGGTACTTTCTACATTTCACAAGGATAAAGATGGGTGTGGGTTAGGCCAGAAAAAGGGCGCTCTGGAAGAAGTGACAGTGACCACAGCTGCCACCCCAATTACAGCTGAAGAGCGCTGTGCAACGGGACCAGAGGTCCCTCATCGCTTCGCTGCCCAGAGCGTCTGGGAAACTCTCTTCACCTGCTCTCAGGCTACAATAAAATGGATTTGGGGGGAACACTCATTCATAGGGCTAAGGGGCAGCTCTCCTGGACTCCTGAGGGGCTCAACTCGAGGCAAAGGAATTCAGGCTGCATTGACTCTACCGAGACGCAAAATAAGGATGCGATCCTCCCGGGGCCTCCATCACCCGAGATAAGCCTAGCGTTATCACTGCCCCACGGCGCCAAGGTCCCGTCTCTCCAAACCCTTGTGCTGCCTCTCTACTTCGCGAGAAAGGAAGAGGATCAAAAGTCTGGCTCCTGAAAGCCTTGCAAAAGGGATGGGAGGTATACACAATACGGAAACCACACGGCCTCTTCCAAAGCCGTGCGTGGTCCCTGGAGATCGCTCAGCACCCAGCAGACACCCTCGCCCCCAAGGAGCAACCGGGGTGCTCTGGGGCCCCCAGGCGCCCAAGACCGGCCAAAAGCGACTCACCCCACGCTAACTGCACCCACCTCCGCGGACTTCAGGATGCACACGCCTCCCGTCCCAGGTTGAGGACGCATGGCGCCCACGGTCCCGGTTTGGGGTGCCGCTCACCTGTCCCCCGGACTCCAGCCGCTTCGCTCACATCCCCCACTCTAAGAGGGATATGGAGCCCTGACCCCGGTGGCGCGGTCCCCATGAGCCAAGTCCCAACGAGCTGCTGCTCTTCTTTCCCGGGCACTGGCGGGTGCACTCAGCAAGGGGGTGGGGGCCGTCGCAGGCCGAGGGGAGGGGCGCGCCCCAAAATCTTCCCACAAAGGGCCCCGCCTCTCCAAGGCGAAGCTCCCGGGGGGGCGGGTTCTCTCCGCGGGGCGCGGGCAGAGGCAGCCGAGGGACTGGGCGCCGTGCACAAGAGGGCGCGGGGATCCCGCTGCCCGCACCGTACCCCGGCTCTGCCCCGCGCCCGCCCGGCGGCCCCCGCCCCGTTGCGTTCCGCCTCGGCAGCCGCCGCCCGCCTGCGTCCCGCCGCGCCCGGCTGGAGGTTTCAGGTTTCAGCTCCGGGCCGCGCGCCCCGCCCGCCCGGCACGGGGACCCGGCCCGAGCAGGCCGGGGACTCGCCGCGCCCGCGCCGATCCCGCCCGGGAACCCTGCACCTCCCGCGCGCCCCTCCTCCGCCCCACCCCGGACCCCCTGCCCGCCCCCGTGCCCCCCCCCGCCCCCCGGACGCCTGCACCTCCCGCGCCCCGCCCCCCGGCGCCCAGCTCCCCTCGGCGCCCCCGCCGCTTCCCACCACCAGCCGGCCGCTGCCCTTTGTTCGCCTCCCCCTCGCGGCTCGCCCCACTTTGTTCCCGCAGACCTTTGTGGTTCCCTACTCGGGCCGGCCCTGTTCGCGTCCCTTCGTCCCACTTGGGACGTGCCCTTCTCCCTGCCGCCCTCATCACACGTCTGCTTTCGCATTCGGCCTCCTCCGCCCCGGTCTGGGTGGGCTCCCCCGACTCCCTCGCCCCGCTCACCTCCATCCACGAGGCTGCGATCGCGGCCGCGCGCTCGGATCCCGACCAGGCTGCCCGCCACCTCCCCGCCCAGGCTCGGGCTGCGGCCCGGAGGGCAGAGCGGTGCCTCCTGGTCGCTCTCACCTCTTCCTTCCCACCTTCTGTACCTGTCCCCAGCCGCCCACGTTTCCTATGCAGCAGTCCTGGGAAGGGAATGAAAACTTAAAGCCAACAGTACAACTCCTGGGGTGGGGGTGGGGGGCATTTTAAAGGAAGGTAAAACAGGGCAGCAAAATAATCAGATATAAAGTTATAATGCCCAATTTGCTAAACTCCAGAAAGAAAAAAAAGAAAACTGATGCTATGTTTAGAGAAGGATTCAAATTCCTCCGAAAACTATCTGCTTTGATAAATACATTAATTATTCCCTTGTCTACAGAATGACCCCCTGGGATCTGCTTCCTTATTATTACTAGGCCACCAAGGCACCACTTTAAATTTAATTTACTACCCAGCACCTGCCAAACACACAATCTGCTTCAGGAACAAATGAGGGGAAAAGTAAATGGGTGCCTTACTGTTCCCGAGGGACTGAGGCTTCTATTTGATCAGAAGGGGAAGCCGAATGCCTCTTAACGTCTAGGTGGCTCAGCAAGCCAGATGCTAGAAGCAGCTCCAAACTATGCTTTTTAAGAGTCCTTTAGGCATTTATTCTGAAACCACTGCTTACTGATTTAATTTACACAGACTGGGGCCACAGCTAAACTCTGTGGCCCTGGAGAAGTCAGTTAACCTTTCTCAATCTCTGTTTATTCATATATAAAATGAGGATACCCTATCTACCTGCTTATGGAGTGAAAAGGTTAAATGAGATAATGCAAATAAATCCCCATGTAAGGCCAGGGATTTAGCTCAGTGGTTCAAGCACTTGCCTCAATTCCAGGTACCAATTAATTAATTAATTAATTAAAAATAAATCTCCATGTCCTAGCATCCAAGCCTTTGAAAGTTAATATTCCAGAAAGATCTCAGAATTCATGGCACAGATAGGCATGGAGGGAATGAGAACCTGAAAAAAATAATAATAACTGCTTTTCTAGCTGCATATCCCTCTCGTGAGACAGAAGATGCCCTCCACACCAAGTAACCTTTGCCAGAACTTACTCGATTCCACTTTGCACTCTAACGTGGAAAACATTTCTTTCCCCTGCTGTACCTTATCAAGTATATTATTTATCACAGAGATTTTTTTTTCCCCTCATAGCCATGACAGTGTAACTAAAAACACTCAAGAAAGAGGACCTCCGGAGCTGCTTCAGAAAGCAGCAAGGATGCTGGGATAAGTATGTTCAAAGCAAGGAAGACCACAGGATTTTGAAGAGGATTAATGGCAATGTATCTTTGTGTGTGTGTGTGTGTATGTTTTTTGTTTTTATGGGCACCAGGGATCGAACTCACGACTGCCTGCTAGCAAGGCAGGCGCTTATGCTGCTGAGCTAAATCCCCAGCCCGGCAATGTATCTTTTACTGTAATAAGTTTTTTGTTTGTTTTGTTTGGTTTGGTTTTGGGGATTATTTTCCCTTTTTTTTTTTTTTTTTTTTTTTTTTCCTTTTTGAGACAGGGTTTTGCTTTGCAGTTCAGGCTGGCACTAAACCAATTTTGTAGCCTGGTTTGGCCTCAGACTCACATCATCCTCCTGCCTACTAAGAGCTGGGATTACAGGCATGCAAAACCACACCTGGCCTGTAATAAATTTTTTAACTTAAATATTTGCTATAATTTTAAATTATGACATGTAATAAATTATTTTGTCATAAATAAGTGACAAAAATGAAGACTATCCTCAGGAGCCTCTACTCTTTTTTTTTTTTTTTTTTTTGTCTTTTTTTTATCGGTACCGGGGATCAAACTCACAACTACACACTTGCAAGCAGGCACTTATGCCGCTGAGCTAAATCCCCAGCCCCAGGAGCCTCTACTCTTAAATTTTGAGATATGTAAGAATAGCTTTTATCACAAGCATAGTGCTAAAAGAGAAGTTTTATATGTTGGATTTCATTAACATTAAAACTTGGTGCTTCAAATGGCATCATCAAGAAAGTGAAAGACAACTCAGAATGGGATAAAGTGTCCTCAAATTATAACCTGATAAAGGTCATATATTCTTCTAGATATATAAGATTTATCTGCATTTATCAAAGCAGATATATCTTTATATATTTCAGAATATATAAAGAAGTCTTATAACTCAATTTTTAAAAAAGGTAAGTACCTATTTTTTAAGTGGGAGAATGATCTGAACAGAAGTTTCTCCAAACAAGTATCCATGAAAAGTCTTTAACAGTATGGATCATTAGCAAAATGCAAATCAAAACAATGGGAGTCTACTCTAAACCCGCTAAGACAGCTAGGTACCCACCAGGATTGGGCAAGATGTGAAAAAATCAGAACACTTGAAAATTCCTCATGGAAATACATAGGGTGATGCAGCATGTAAGGAAAGAGTTTGGCATAAAGTTGCCACGTGACTCAGCAATTCCATGCCTAGGTACTGTATCTACCCTACCCAAAGGAACATTCACATTAAAACCTGTGTACAAGTGTTTAGAAACCACCCTGCATCCATCAATGTACGAATGCATTTTTAAAATGCAGTGTAATCCTGTAATGTAATGTTATCCCAGCACTGAGGAGACTGAGGCAAGAGGAAATGACACACCAAGTCCTGCCAAGGCAACTAGTGCACTCCTGGTGTGTAGGGGGGTGTAGCTTAGCTGTAGAGAGTTCCTAGGTTAGATCCCTAGTACCAAACAACAACAAAAATAATGTATCCATATATCATATCACGGACTACTATTCAGCCATTAAAAGGAATGTATTACTCATACATGCTATGATATGGGTGAGCCTTGAAAATATTAGGCCAAGTGAGAGAAACCAACCATAGAAATCCACCCATTGTGTTGTGAAGGACCACCTGGACAACTCTCCTGGAATGAAGAGCGGTTACCTCCACTTTGTCTAAACCTGGCCCTTGCTCCATGTACTGATGTGTACAGAGCTGGCAAAGGGATCATTGCAAAGATCCCTTTAATTGGATCTAAGCAATGTAAATAGGGTGAGCTGAAGTGCTGATGCATAATCTTTGAAGCTAGGTGACAGTCAGACAGTTGCTATTTCCCTATCCTGAGACTCCTAAAACACCATTGAGCCAGGCAAGAAGAAAGAGCCATGGCTCCATGGCTGTTGACTGGGTTCAAACCTCAAAATAAGAGGCTGTGACTTTCCGGGGCAAAAAGGTTTGCACATCAGAGCTGAAGCATCATCTAAACATTAAATGCTACCTCACTTGTGTTATGCAGATTGGTTTTTCTGCATATCCGTCTCTCTGCAGACTGCAGAGATGCTTTCAGGCCTCCTGGCCTACCCAGCTCACCATACTCACATAATCCCCGCCATTCTCACAGTGACTCATCCTCTAGCCATTCCATTCTTTACGCATTAATAAAATCCGGTTAGGTTCTGGGTTGAGGCCTTTGTTCTGATGAGACTTCGACATGGCTGGACTCAGGACCGCCTTGACCCCGCCCCCGCACAATTTTAAATATACCTTACCATCTTTATTCTCCCTGTGGGTTGCACTAGAAGAGATAGATTGGATTAATTTGCTAGAATTCCAAGAACTTTTCCATGGGATTACAAATATAAACTTCCCAGATTGAGAAAAGGACAGGAGCAGAATCTCTATGTTGCATGATTCCTCTTATGGGAAATATCCTGAATAGGAAAATCTCTAGGTAGGAGAATGTAAATTAGTAATTGTCTAGGGCTGGGAAAGGGTAGGTGTGAAATGTGACTGGTAACAAAGTTGTCCTTAGAGATGACAAAAATGTCCTAAAATTACATTACGATAAAGATTGCACAACTCTGAGTACGCCAAAAGCCAACAAGCTGGCTCTAAGGGAATGAATTTGAATTGTCCCAACAGAGCTGCTTTAGAATAAAAAGATTTCCCTGTGCACTAAAGGAAGTCTGGAAGTGCCTACACCAAACCAGGAACAGTGACTGGAAAGAGGCACACTTACTATTTAATACTGTTTCCTGTATTAAGCTGAATTTTAATAGCACATATGTATTATTTTAACAATAGTTTAAAGTGAAAATGCACTGAAACACTTGGTAAATATATCCAAATATACATATAGATACACACCTACATACATATA